CGGGGCTGGGTGGTGGGGGGGGGGGGGGGGGGGGGGGGGGGGGGGGGGGGGTGCAAATTTCTACTCTATATACTTCAACACTCCTTTCAGATCGTGTTTCACAAAAACAATGTCAAGATTATCGATTTTCGAATGCATCTAACACCTTCGTGTGACTGTTTTTCTTTTCTTCTTAATCATTGAAATACAAAAAGATATTTTCATTAAATGGCTTACATTGGCAGGAAGAGAAAACGCGAAGGGTAATATGTGTCACAAGAAAAAACAGTGAAAATGGTATAAATAGACCTAAAGCTTATTCGTTTTCGAATACAGTATAGACAATTTGTGAAGACATTCATCTTGTGTGTTTTCACATTATTAATGTATACTCAAATTGCAGAGTATCATTTTTAACATTTTTTTTTCGATTTTTTTTACGGTTTACTGTCCGTTGGTTACATAAAAAAAATATATCTCAATTAGTGTTATTCTTGTGTGGAGATTTATATTTCGTTGACTATTTAAAAGAAATGAGCAAACGAGTAGGATCGGTACGAGTCCTCGCTTCTACGCCATCCACACCCAGAACCACATCTACACGCAAATTCATAGGCCCACACTCACATCCTGTTCATTGTTTGATATCAAAATCATGTTTGAATCAACTAATACAATGAATTATGGTTGGAATATTATGTAAATCAGACTTTTGAAACAGCAGAGAAGTTTATATAATAGCAATAGTGGTTGTTTGTATTTGGTAACAAAAGCGTGAAAAATGACCTTGTATTCAGTAACTCTTGATCATCATAGCTCGATTCAAAATCAAATAAAGCATCAATTTGAAATTTGTATGAAAAACTACATCAGATTATATTTCTAACGAATGTTGATAGAAGTACTGTTAATTCAGTTAGAATTATAATTTATTCCCTTCTTCATATCACAAAATCGCAACCTCACATAAATCAGCATGTATTCTTATATACGCAACTAGAACAAAAGGAGACAAGAAAGAATCAATGAGAGATAGATGTTCAATGATACATAGTTACCAAGGAAGGGCAGAGCATATAATAAAAGAAAGGTTAACCATTATGTATGAGCAGTTAATTCCATCCAACAGTGAGAGCAGGTAATGACACATGTTAAAATCAACAGGGAACGTCACACTTCTGGATGTAGCTTGAACGTTCTCCCTAGCGTCGGTGACACCAAAAGAAACCAAGAGAAATTAGACGACAAGCAGAAAGAAGAGAAGTAGAGTACGTAAGACAAAAAGTACGATACAGAAAAATATGTTAAAGAACAACACAGCAGCTAAATGAGAGGAGTTGGAAATGGACGGTTTGAGCAGCAGGTTGACGAACGATATTGAAAGTATATTAAGAAACCAAGAAGATGGAAAGGTCTGATAGTTGGTGAGAAAATCGAGAATATCTTGAAAATGGTCAGAAATGTAAGGTAATTTGGGTCAGCGAGTCGTGTTGGTCAGTTGTTGATAAAGAGCCAAAATGTCGATATAAGACGTGTTGAAGATGATGGAATTCAAGATAGTAAGTGATAGGTGCGGAGGAAAAAATCGAGAAATGTTACATATTAGTTTGATTTTAGGAGGAATGGTGATGAGGACGACAGCATATAGAGTGCGTGCGCCGTTGTAGAAAACGTATGATGGGCAGTGGAAGAAAACGAGGCAGAGTAACATTGTTAGGTAATATTGGAAGAGATAGCTTAATGGTTACGAAGACCATAAATAAAAAGAGGTCCGAGGTATTGTACGGTGTGGTAAGCAGAGAGAGTTACAGCAGTAAGAATTGAAAGATGCAGGTGTCGTTCCAATGAGTAAGGATAGGAGGAGTTTCGCGACAAACGGACATCGTATGAAAATGGCGGAAGCTAAATTCACTTTTGGTCCAGCATATAAGATGACTATTGATAAAGTCAATATCTATAATGAAAGATACATTGGCGAGACAAAGATAGAGACCATTGTAAGAGGAATGACTCGAAAGTAATTCGTATAGTAAAAAAGGAAATTTGGTGACGTATTATAGCAGCAAATAATTGAAGAAATAGAGAGGACACTAATGACTGGATCATGAGCTTACGGAAGAGTGACACGAGGGAGGAAGTGAATATTCTGTAGGACAGATGGATGACTGACGGACTCAACGAAAGAGCGAGAGCAGTCGAGTCGGTGTTGAATGAAACGTTGGTTGAGGAGATAATGAAGTTGAGAACGATAGGAAGATCGTTGTGATCGATAAAACACAGATTAAGACGATTGCACAATTGCTTTCAAGGATTTAAAAGAACGACTCGTCTCTTCTGCCGGCATGCGCTCACCAAATTTCTGTTTTCCTTTCATCCTCGAATTAGATGCCTGTGAATATGGGATCGGTTGTATCCTTACTCAAGAGTACAACAATTGCAAATATGCCATCTTGTACACTTGTGAAACACTATTCGTCGCTAAGCACAACTACAGTTTCGTCAAATGTGAAGCTCTTGAATGGCTCAAAATTGCACTGATTCAGCTGGATGTCAAGCGTGCTGACTAGGGCACTCTCACCTTACTACTTTATAATTCGACATCATCCGGGTAAACCCAACCGAATGGTGGCTTCGGGTCTCGTTACCCTATTTTCTCTTTAGAATCGGCTGCTCTTGAATTAAACTCGATTGAATCCGCAATCAATATTCTTGAAAGGCTCGAATATTCTTGACGATATTTGTTCTCAATAGTCAGTGGATCGACGCCTCTCACGAACTATTCAGATTCTTAAGGAACAATCGTCTCTACCATTCGACGACAAACATGTTCCTTACATTCTCATTAATAATCTCCTTTACAACGTTTGTCATATCAACTTTTATAACGATCAACGACTCATTTCTAATAAACATCTGTTCGTTATCACTGAACCCCTACAATGCCAAATACTCGCTTGGGCGAACGACCACTCTACTGCCAATCATGCCGCATGGATCAAAATACTCTTCCGTCTATCTTTTCGCGTTTAGTAGGCTTCAATGTGCAAAGACGTTTTCAGGTATGTACAAACTCGTCCTTGAGCTGAGCTCAATTGAGGAAGCCCTCAATTGAACCGTTGGCCTTGTCAATCAACTCTCAAATACTCTCGATCGTCACAACACCGCCATAGAAAATCTTGCCT